TTTGTCATACAATGTGGTTGTATAGTCTGTAAAATATAAAACTGATGTAAAAGATAGTTGATTTGATATCGTTTATACATCTAGAAGTAGAAGTCTTTGACTCATGTAGAAGTCATTGAATTAATTCAGCTTCATGGGCATATGAAAATCAGGTCAGCTAACAAAGGAACGCAATTAGTGCCCATTGGAATTCCAACAGTTTGTCATAGAGTATGCTCTCGAAAGACTTTTTGAGTGTTGTCAATGAGAAACTCCAGCATCTTTTAATTACAACTTCAGAATCTTATGGTTTTGAATCAGAGTGATTTTAACAAAGTAATTGATGATCGAGTTATCAAAAGACAACACCCATTTTTACTGACGAAGCGCAGTTGTCTTTTATTTTGAAAAGCTTAGTTTTTTTTTATTTATCGTGAGGAATGGTTGTATAAAGCATAGCCAACTCGGACGGTTTGATGTTTTTAACTTTCAAAAAATTTGGCATATTAAATTTTCTAGAAGGTTTTTTTTAGTGTTTGAGAAACCACATCTGATTTACACCAATTCTAGAATGCTGGGTATACTGCAGCACACCTCTAAGATCCCTTCTGGACAACATCCTGAATTAGAAACAATGTCCGAGGCATTGTCAACAATTTTATATTTTGTAACGAGTGGACAATTAAAGAAGACTTTTCCTAACGTCTATATTTTTTTTTATACTAGCTATTTATTAAAACAAATTATAAAATAATAATGAATCTGGTTAATCAATGCATTAATCTTTCTGTTAGTTGTTGATTAATCTTTTGTAAGCATTTTTTTATCATTCGTCAAACTTGAACAATTAAAATTTTGACAAATTAGAAAATTGCAACATTTACATCACAGTGACTTTCACAAAGTCATTACAAAAACAGAATATACTTAATATAAAGCTTTGTTACTTTTTTATGGTAAATTTTTTTTTCATTTATCTCATAAACAAGTAAACATTTATGAATTATGCTACCTTACAACCGATTGTTTGTTTTAATATGCGGTCATTAGTATAATTCTGAACTATAAAATAGTATTTTCTGACGGCAAAGCGCATTTTGAAATGGTTTAAAGTACAAAATAATTTTCTACACCAAAAGCCTTGTTTTCGTTTAATTGTCTTTTTAGTTATAAATCTAACTTTATGTGTGAATATTATAATGTATATTTTACCCACTTTTTGTATGTAAGAATAGGTTCTAATTATTTTTTTGTTTGTTATAAATACTGTATTATTTATGAATCTGTCGGGAATAAAGAAGAGGAGCGACTAAATGAATCAATTTGACTGGAAACAAAAGCGGACACTGACTCTAACTTTGGCAATCTAAACGTTCTTCATCCTGCACGAAGGTTTGTGGTTTACAAATTACCATGCTGGTATCATAATATGACATTTTTGATGGGTAACATGGAAAATTATGGCGTCGGTGTAATCTGTATAAAAAGAAAATACTTCTCATTTGACTTATGATATGTATAACTGTGTTACAAAATATCTTTTATTTTTATATGATGTTGCATAGGATATTAATCATACAAAAGTCATTATCCGACTCTCACTGCTGTAAACATCTATGAATTAAACCCCATCCTTTCTTTCTCTCTTTGTCTAAATTGTAGGCACAAATTGTCTTGCATCTTGCAATCAACGCCATTAAAACATTAAATAAACATGTTGTCTATTCGTAATGCAAAAAAGAATACACAGAATACATAATTTATGCCATGGATGCCATTTGTTTCCAATATAATTTGCAAAAGTTTCAGCATGAATTGAAGATGTCTCCTGCTGTAGCCTTCAATTCGACATTAAGTTGTATCACAACAATTATGAATATACGTTAATCCATTGATTAAACCTATTTATTCCAATGAACTCAAATCAGAGACACGCCTGCTTCACATTTAAATATTTCACTGGAGAAAGACAAATTAGTAACTAAATACCGGTACCGGGGTATTATGATAAACGCAATTACTTAAACTGTTCTATTGTCAACTTCCCTTATGCCCTAATTACTTGCATATAGATTTTAAGTCTCATAGTTGATTCGATACGCAAGAGTATGCTCTAGTACGAAAAAAAAACGAAGAAAGATATCGACAAACAAGTTGATAAAAAGGATACCAGGTCTATATTTTGCAAATTTTAGGTATGAAGATTTTGGACAAATTCTGCTTCATATAAATACAAAAATAGGTCTGCTAATGATGGGGCGCAATGGATTGATGGAAGACTTGGTCTCGAAAAACCACGTAGATACTGTAAATCAGAAACTCAAGAATCGTTTTGATGTCAGTACTTCAGAGTACTTGTGTGCACAATCAGAATGTTTTTCAAGTAGATAGTTTTGCAAATGACCAATGACAAAGTAAGTAAATTTACGAGTTCTATTTTTATTGAAAAATAAGCTGTCAATGATATCAAAAAGCCTCAATTTTAGTTTAACGTGGGGAATGGTTGTGTATAAAGTTGAAAAGTCGTAAGTTGTATACAGTATAAGTTGGATTACCACTTGTAGAATAAATCCAAGTTCTTTTAAAATGCAATTTATATAAGAAGCCTTAAAAATGAAAACTGTATTGTTACCTGCTTTGTCAACAGGGACCAGTATTTACTTATCATGAAATCTTTCTAATTCTTTTTTTCACCTCTGGATTATGGAATACAGAAGAATATATGTTTTTTTCATATTGCTCCTCAATCTTTTAATGTGCGATTTGTAGCATAAATGAATGCAATTTCGGTGAAACAAAATGGACATTTTCCTTCATTGATTGCACTGTGTTCAATTGACCTTGTTAAGAAAATTGAAAAATTCAAGATGAACTAATTCTATCTAATTGTATACGTACAGTTTTATGTTTTACTTTAAGCAGATGGTATTATTCTATCAACTTCATATCCTGAAAATCTCTACAGTATCTCCTCTTCGTATGTAAAATTTCTAAAACGAGGTTAATTATTATTGAAAACAAGTTGATGAAACAAGAATATCAGAAGTCTCGTTTAAAGTAATAATTTCGTAAGTTCTATGGTCGATACGATGACCTTGTCAGCAAATACAGTTTAACAATGAATGAAATGCTGACTGAAGTTTTTCATACTAATTGTTAGTCCATTATTTATACACTGAATTGACGACGTATTTTCCGTTATTTCCTGATCATGACAAGAAGCACACATCGGATGAGACCGGTTGGCAGGGGATCCTTACTACTCCATGGCACCTGATCCCACCTCTGATGCTTTGGAGGTTCGTGTTGCTTTGTTCCTCTTGTGTATTGCTTTAGGGACTTTGAACTTGAATACTCTTCGCTATCTCAATATATTTTACTCCTTTAGATGTTATCTAAGTATTTAAAAATAAGAAAACACATTTATCGTTAATTATGGTACAAAACAAAGATTAATATTTGACATAGGTAAAAAAAATTCTAATATATTCCATTGGAAATTGTTTAAAATCTAAAATATAAGAACCTTTTTTTAAAAGTGGATTTTTTTAGAAGTTATGAGAAAGCTACATATGCAATACAGTTCTTGGAAATTGAAATAATAATAATTCACTAACTGTTTGTAAATTAAAAATCTTTAACAAAATAGTGAAAATAATTCTGTTAAATGAATGTGAAGTATTGCATTTTACTTACATTATTATTGTCGAGAAACTTTATCTCAAATTTTAAATATTTAAAAGTTTCCCGTACAATTTGATGGTAAATGAAAAAACTTGGTAGATACCCTTTTATCCATATACATGTATGTTAAAACTAAAATTATAAATTTATTTCTTGGAAAAAACCTGTCTCTAAAGTTACTAAATGTCATTAAAATTATTATACTATGTGTTTAAACAATAAACCAGGGCGTACTGCGGTTTAAAAAAAATCATAATAAATGATTGTGGACTTGCTTTTGCAAAAAAAAATGGCAACAAACTATGTAAATGTTACACGGTTAAAGAAAAAATGCATAATGTTCTAAATCATGCCTTTAAAGCAAATCTGGTATAATAGTGACTTGTAAAAATCGCAAAAACGTTTAATTAAAGATAGTTTGAAAAGCATTTATATTTACCTTGTAAACTTACTATGAAATGTTGTTTATGATATTGTTTTAGAACGTGAAATGCTAAGAAAACTTGGAACTAATTTCATTACTGATTTGAATGCATCGACCCATTTAAAAAAGAATTCTAGACTCTCATGTTTGTCCAAATAAACATTTTATAAAACAATTCCAAAGGTCTATAAATCTGAACAATTATTTAATATAACTAACCAAAATCAATAAACTGGATGACTTTATGGGATTGAGAGAGTTGACCCTCTTGGTTACTGACTTATTATTATTATTATTATTATTAGAACTTTATTATAAATATTTTATGCTTGTTATACATGTATCCTCTCTAAATTGTTGTTACAGTTTATGAGAATAATCTAATGCCATTGGATAGAAAAATGCTCTAAGACTTAATAATATTGATATCGTGTGTTTGATATCGAATCTGTCCTCCTATAATTTTATAGATATCTTATGCTTAATATCAATTGAAACAATGGATTTTTGTTTTCTCTGAGTCATTCTTTCTTAATTTAAAACTAAAAATACACATAGTACTTAATTAAAGTAAAGTTTACAGCATCAAAGCGAATGTTTTTATATATATATTAATATTAAAGAATCGATCTATTCTTTCAACGTATTAACTGAATTTAAAATCCAAACACTAGTCATTACGAGTTCACCGTTTAAAAGTTTGACAAAACGTCAAAGAAGGTTAAAATTTTAATTTTTTCGGCTCTATAAGCAGTACATAAATTCAAATTAAAACAATAGTTTTTGCTAATTATTTATTTCTTTCCCTTGGGGCTTTTTAAAGAAGACATATTCTTGAATTATTAGCTGCTCTTATTGTTATATCATTATACAGCAAGAACTCTTGTTTGCGAGTAGGTAAATAAATGTACGTCAAAAAACAACCTAGCGTGACGAATGGCTGGCGTCAACCATAATTAAAGACGCCATTTTGGAAAGGACAGGCTGAAAGTTTTGGAAGTGTGTATGCAGTTTGTCATTTTTGGATACATATTTCAGTGAATATTTTGTGTTTTCTCGTGGTTAGATGATGATATCATGGTAAATTACAGCCTCAGTTCTTCCATTTTACGAAATATGAGCAAAAGGTTTGTTTTATAACCTCATAATGAATATGCACAGCTAAGTGTAAAGAAACTTCATGTTCTTCAGCGATAATATACGAATAGTACTAAGGGTACTTGTGTCATGTTATAGGAAAGTAAAATATTTGTGTAATGAAACTTCATACAGGATATATTTATCCTAATGTTGGGATATCAGTTTGTTATGAAAGCTCTGGTCTCCTGCCAGACATTTCTGAGCATAATGTTGACAATGTCATCGTCTTACCCTATTGTCCAGAAACGATCAATATCAATCGAAAACAGGGAAACAGAAAACTGGACAGGAGAAAACTTACAGGGAAGAACTTGTCTTCGATTTTGTCCTTATATTAACTGTAATAATGGTACGTGCTACCAGGATCCTGTAACATGTGGATTAAGATGTATCTGTAACATTGGTTACTCGGGACGTAGATGCAAGAAGGAAATCCAAACCACGACATTAGTTCCAACAACTCCAGATCCGAAATCCAAATCAGATGGTGACCTAGTGAGAATTTCACTGGGAAGCATTCAGGGTAATATTGGTCATAAAGAAAACGCATCTTTTTTAACTGAAACTCATGAAAGAAGCGATGCTGAAGATGAATTTCGAACGACTGAGGAGACGGCTAGCGATTTTGTGAAAAATTCAACTGAGAGCGTTGATTTGTCCTCACTAAACAATTCACAGAAAGGGACAGACGAGATCATTAGAAGATTTCGTAAACCATTACTTTTGTTTAAATTGGAAAATGCGGACAAAAACACAACTAAAATAAATAAAACGAATACAAAAATTTCATTCATAAAAAATGAGTCGACTTTAAAAACTCCCTTGCCTAATGCTGAATCTAACAAAACGATGAAAGAAGACGAAATGTCCGAGTCTGAATCAACCGCCACGAAAGAAATCAAACAATCAGTCACAAAGTTATCAGAACTCCACGAAAATCAATTAAATGAAGAAGGTCCTTTTCTTCGCATGTCCTCACCAGATTTAGAACTAAGTGTTCGGGAACCATTTACATCATTATACTTAGACGAATGTGATAGAAATTGTTCATCAGAAAACGTTTGTGTTCCAATCAAGAACAGATTCCATTGTTATCCCAAGAAGCATGATTGTCCCTCTGGATTTCCTTGTGAGAATGGAATTTGCATGAAGAATGGGAGTCTTATCAAGTGTCTTTGTGAGCCGGGATGGATTGGAGACATGTGTAATAGAAACTGTTCTCTCAACTGTAATGGAGGCGCCTGTTATCGAAGTTCGGAAGATCCTGACGGTGCCACTTGTATCTGCAACCAAGGATATGGAGGAAAAAGATGCGAGCACAAGAGGGAGTTAATCTGTAAGTTATACTTGTAACTTAAAAAGAATGCTTATAATAATATTTAAACCTTTTATTTTAATTACATTTTGAAAAGAGATTTTTTATATTATCGTCATATCTTATTCTAAATGTACAAATGAAGAAAAAAAATGTCAATTACTTAAAAGCTTACTTGAATAGAACTGTTTATTTTCATTGGGGTAAAAAAAACTCCATGGTTTCATGGTTGTCGCGAAAATTCTTAATTCAATTGAAACATATTTTCGTGGACAGCTACTTTTAGAATAAGCAAAGTGTTCATTTCATTGTTGACCTTACTGCATAGACCTAAATTAGATATTTAAAAAAGAAGAAAAACGATTAAAAGCTTAAAAAATAATCCAAGGGTATCAAAAAGAATTTTGAAATTATATAAAACCTTTTAGCCCTCTTTTGTCATTGGCCAGATTAAAGAACACTCCATAAGAAGCTTAAAGCAATGTAGATATAATTTCCATTGAATAACGACTTTGCTTTCTCAAAAAATGTCCTTTTCTCCAGGTACAAGTAAGAATAAGATATTTAGGGTATACATTTATTGTAAACTGACAATTCTGTTTAGATTCAACAGTCGTGTCTTGAAACGTTTTTAATGTAAGCGATATTGAAAAACAATTATTTTCTCAAGATACTCTCCTAATCTAATAATGGTAAATAGGTTAACCACGATTTCCTATGGTAGCTTAACCAAAGTTTACTACGGTTAATTTAGTTTTTAGACTACAATTTACCACTCTAATCAATATTTCAGAAAGTTTATGTTACCGAGGCATTCAGTGAATGATTAAATATGATTGATTATTATAAATTCAATAATTATTCTCCCAAACAAACGAGTTTGGAATTTTTGGAATGAATTATGCTAATGAATAGAACTTTGATGGGATTTAGTTTACATTCATTAATTTTGATTTGATACCACATCACATACGAAAAGTCAACTCAGATTATGTAATTTTTAGAGGAACTATGAATAAATTGAGAACTTCTAGACTAATAAACATAAATTTTCTTGATTATTTGCAAATTCCATTTCTATAATTGTTAGTTTAAGTTAACATTTTGATGGGCATTCATAGTACTCCTTCATTAGCGGACCTTTTTCTACATTTCTATGAAGCAATTTCATTCAAAAACCTGTACACGATAAGAACACACTTGATGTGACGTTCAACTTGAAAATCAAATATTCTTTTATTGAAGAATTTGATCAATTAATAATATAACAAAACATTCTTTTATTTATTAAGGGATGAGAAATATCCCAGTGAAGTCGAAATAAAATATTCCCCCGAGTTTTTGCAATATGTGGTTCACGTTTGGTTGAATAACTATAGGGATATGGAAGTAAATGGGAAAACAAACAACTAAACTTCATGTCAAACGGGAGACCAACTTTTTGAAAATACGCCAGTGATAGCGGAATATTACACCGTAATTAAGGAAAATTGACTATGGAAAGGCTAAAATCATCTTTTTTTTCATAGAGAGTAGTAGTTGTCTCCCTATTTATTTGATTGTCAAAATCATGCTCTGAGAACTATCAATTTAAAACCGAAAGACTATTGGCGAATACGTTGATGTCACAAGAATTTTAAGAACCTTGTTTAAACTCAGCATTTTGTAATATTGTCGTTATGATGACCTTGTTAGATGAAATAACAACTCATTGGGTTATACGAACAGTAGATTTCTGATTCGGGCTGATATATTTCATACCAATTGTAGCCACTGTTTCATACAATATTTCAGACTTTTTTGTCTACCTGACCAAAACATAAGTTTAGGGGTGGGGGTAGGGATAAGAGATTTCTAAAGGGTTTTGATAATAGATTTGTATTCTTTGTAGGATGTTTCTTTTTTGAAATCGATACATTTTCGTTTTCTTCACTTTTTCTCTTATTTTGTCTTTAATTTGCAACCTATCACTGATTCAATTATCAATACATATTTTAGTAAAGATACGGTACCTTACGATATACAAAATACTTTTATTTTCAAGATAATCACAATTAATGTCCCTTAAAAACAATGAGATTGTCTCTTTAAGCATATTAAAATGCATCAGTTTTGTTTGTTTAGATTATTTTTTCTCTTCTGAAAATTAGTCAGTATTTGTTTAGTGATCATTACATCTTTTTGAATAACACAAATTCTTCAGTCTTTAAAAAATTCCCTTACAGTACTAAGGCGTAGTTAGACATTTAATAGATGATGTCACGGTGCACGAAATTAATTAAGCTTGTATTTGAAATATGAGTCTTGATTGTTGACTACTATGCGGCATTTTCTGCTTTAGTTTACCGTGACAGTTCAGATTTTTCGGGGATTTTTGTTAGAATCAGCAAACATCATTGTAAGATACCTAAAAGAAAACATGAAAACAGAAAGCAAAGAATAAGAATTTCATCTAATATTTTGAATTTCTTTTCATGCTTTTATTGCTAAATTGTTAAATGCACCTTAGAATTCAAGTAAATATGTCGATTAAAATTTACAATATATATTTCAAAATTAGCTTTAAAACTTTAATCTCAGTTGATGTCGTATATTCTGTTCAATCATTCTGATCACGTATATTTACGAAAAGTATCTTCTTTATTTTTAGCATCTTTATAATTAAAGTTTGCAGCATAGTTGCTGATGCTACATGTAGTTCTGTTAAGTGGGTTTAAGTTAGAGACCTGTTTTAGGCAGCTACCTGTATATACAATTGAAAAAATAGAAGTATAGATCCGAGACTGAGGTCTCGTGGCTTATTCAGTATTCCTGGCACAACTAGGCTTAATGCCAATTACATAAGGAAATAATTTTTAACAATTAGTTATTTGTTTCCTATTTAGAATTGCTTCACAATGGTTGCCAAACTCAAATGAGACTTGTGAAAAATGTCTGCATGATAAAAAAAGAAACTTTCGTCGAAATACAATCGTGAACATTAAAAACATGAGAAATGAAAAGAACAACATCAACAAAAAAAAAAAAAAAAAAAATCAAAAAAAAAAAAAAAAAGGAACCATGTATCTCATCATATTTATAACTGAGGAGCAATTACGATTGGTCAAAATAGCATGATGTTTAAATAAGCATTATTTTTGAAAATCTATATATTTATTTACAACTTGGAAACCTTAACACGATAACATATTTTCAGAGTTAATTGTTTGATAAAATAATTTGTACAGAGCGTGGCTTATTGAAAAATTACACTGACTAGGTACAATCAACTACTAATCCATTGCAATCTAAGACGTGCTTTGATTTAATAGTAGGTTTTTTACTTGACCTTTCTGTTTTGAATAAAAACGTTATGGATTTTCATATAGAGAAATATTGATCTAATTTGAATTAACATTGTTTTTCTAGAAATATTCAATTAATATTTCAACAAGAACATATTAAGATTTTTTTCCAAATGACTTTTCATGAATGAAAATGAAACAGGTCATAAAATCAAAAATATTCATGCCAGAAATTCAATTCACTTATCAATATTTTCCTTTTTAAGAATATATAACATTTAATTGCATAAAAAATGTTTATTATATATTGAAATAGTGGTTTACCACGTAAGCCAAGACACTAAACAAATTTGCATAAGATGTGATGTTTCGTATCTGATTTTAATTATCATTTTGCAAATGAAGCAGGATTTCGTGTCAGACGCCCCTACATAATAAATGCCATGCCAACAGTGACATTTTGCGTTTGTTAGCCTTTTCGAAGAATATGTTATGAATTTTATAAAATCCCAAATTAATAACCATGTTAAATTTTGATTTTAAAAATTCATCTTCAAAATAATGCTGTTTCAAATAAGAGATATTTTTCTTTAGTGTCATTTAATATAATTTCTTATGTATCATAATTGCATCATGACAATACTTTATATATCTTCAGAAATTATATGAAACATTTTTGCTGTTAAACAATGTAGGCTTTTTTCTTAACTGAACATCTTTAAGCGTATAAATACGACAGTTATGAATTTTCAATGCATCCTTCAATATTAAGTCTCTAATGTTCTGGAACTGAATGCTATATGTAATAATTTTAGCTGCAATACCTCTTATCAACAAATGAATTCTATATCTAATTTTTTTAGCTGAAATCTCTTATCAGTAAATAAATGCTATAATATCTCATTGTTTTAGCTGCAATGCCTCTAATCAGTAAATAATTTCTATATCTAATTGTTTTAGCTGCTGCGGAAGAAGACCAATGGTACTGGTACGTCATCATTCCCTGCATCTGCTGTGTCATCGTTCTTATCATTGTACTCGTCGTTATCATCTACTGCATGCAAAAAAGGAAATGGTTATTCGCCATGAAAATTGTCCACTTCTTTAAGGAATATGAAGATGACGGTAAGAAACCTCTCAAATTAAACTTTGACTTTTTTATTGATAAAATGAACATTAAATTCAAATTTTGAAAATATCAACAATGTTTATGGAATATTCGACCTTGTCTTCATAGATGGCAAAGAATACGATGCTTTTATATCCTACAAGTCATCAAAAGAAGATGAAGACTTTGTGTTACATCAGCTGTATCCCAAGTTAGAAGAGGAGATGGGCTTCAAACTGTGTCTGCATTTTAGGGATTTCACACCAGGAGATAGTACGTATAAACAAATCACGTCCAACTGAGCACTAAATCCAAAAAGATCATTTCTGATACTTTTCTTATTTTTAAAAAAGTTAATTATTCTATGACTCTGGTGTACAAGATTAATAAAACCCTTTCGTTGTTTATTTCATAATTTTAAAAGAGAAATCGTGCAGTAAAGCTTACTGTTAATTCATTTACTTAAGTGTTTCATTAATTGTTTTCACACAAGCAGACATTGTTCTTTGCGACAGCGGCATGCATAATCATGAGAACACATAGCTGCAGGCAAAATTTTGACAAGTGCAGAGGGATTTAACGAGCCACATACGGGCATTTTGTCATTCTAGGTCACACAAAAGAATAAGAATGGCTTTAATTTGTTTAGCTCTCAGATATTCATAAATTTTCCAAAATCCACAAAATCTTAGTATTTTAGAAATTCATGCGATCCTTTCTTATCCAAAAGAAAGTGTCTCAGCTTTTTTGCAAGGCTTTTAGAAAGAACTTAAAATTCACCTTTTCGAAACGCAAATGTTGTGATCATTTACAATTAGTTTCAGTTGATTAAATATATCAGAAGCGATATGTGATTACTTAAGATAATACTTGCTCTTCAAGTTTGACAAGTAAAACATATACCTGGTATCTTAACAGATGGAAAAGTTTTGTGTACAGTTTGATTTTTACCCTCAACAAATGTTCACAATGAAATACATCTACAAATAACAATGCATAAGTAGCTAGTAACAGTGATTAGATTTAATTCATTTGAAAATTTATATTCTCTTTCTTTCTCTTTTACAGTCATTGCCAATAACATCATTCATGCAATTGAAAACAGTCGTCGAACTATAATGATTTTATCTCCAAACTATGTTGAAAGTGAGTGGTGTCGCATGGAATACCAAAAAGCACAACATGAAATGTTAAAGAGAAAACACAGGATAATTCCAATAATGTTCCGAGACATTACAAAGTGTGATAAATTTGACAAAGCCCTGGGTGATATCTTAAGAACAGTAACCTACATTCAATGGCCGGAAGACGGAGACTCAAACAAAATCGAACGTTTCTGGAACCAGTTAAGGTTGTCGTTACCAAAGAAACGCGGTCCAACATACTCCTCCTCTTCCTTCACGTCATCAGGAAGTGGATCCACAGAGACGACGGATATCTACTCTTCCATCTCAGAGCCAATACCAAGTTCTTCCATCATTTCTTCTGATGTGAAGAAACCGTCTTATTCTAATAACGAAACGATCTTGAATATCACTGAAAATGAGAGTGCAGTGCATAATAGTGCATATCCCTCGTACGTTACTCTGAGTGAACAAACTTCGAACTCCCAGAGCCCGAACACCAACTCTTCGCTGCAGAGTGACATGAAAGAAAATTCAACTGGTACTGAATCACAACCAGACAATTCCTCAAGTAGGCTTCGCAAAATTGTGAAAGACATGCTTAAATTAAAAATTCACTCTCGTTCATTTTCTTCTGTGCGAGTACAGGGTGAGGGGTCCTTAGAAACTCCCACACCTACTACTGCTACTCCTAGTATGTTTTTGGATAAGGACATGAGTCCATTATTAGCAAAGAGGAAGAGCAAAAAGTCTTCTACCTGGACAGCAAAATCACTCCATCAAACTCTTAAACCATGTGTGAGGTCTATGAGTGAGAAAGAATGCAACATCAAAAAACTAGATATCATTCCACAGTTGTCCACACAAAGAAGAGAGTTACCAGACGTTTGTAAACATCTGGACACAGGGCACGATAATAATGGATTTGAAAATGAGAAAAAATCCAGAAAAATAATTTCTAAGGAAGATACCAATGTGTCAAATCTCCTCACTGATCATGATATAGGATCTTCTAAGGATTTCAATAAAAACATTGAAAATGTCTTCAACGAAAGCAACATGGCTCCACTTACATGTGAAACATGTGTGTATTCATCAGTAAATGTAGATAATAATGTGTACACATCAACAACGGATACTTGTAAAACATGTGTACAAAAATCAGAATCTAACAATCAAGCTGATGTTGAAAATAAAAAGGAGCCAAATAAACAACTATGCAATAGCTTTAGAAATGACCTTTCTAAAAGGATTAAGAAATCCAACGTCCCAAGGAGGTACAGTGATGGTGTGAAATTAAATCGGAAAAAAGCTAGAGATATTAGCAAAGACGTACCAGTGAACATAACTGAAAGCTGCATTTTTAATAACGATTATCCTTCGCGGGTTGTAGCAAAGCAAGAAGTATCAAACAATTCGTATGCTAATTCAACCAGTTTTAGCAATGACCAAAATGTACATTATTGCAATACAAGTGACTCATCGAAAATCCAAAATAATTGGATGAGTGAACCGTTTGTATCGGATAAATGTTCAAACTGGCAGACTTTTGACTCCAAAAACTTATCTGTAAATTCAGATGATCCAAATATGAACTCATCTTTCTCATCCAACGCAACCTCTTATCAAAACCTTCATACACAGGAGACTTTAAAGGATTCGGTTGTTGGGATGACTCGGAATGACTCGGATATTCAGGCAGTTAACACGAAGACTTTATCAGACAATTATGTCCAGGAGTACAATGTATTATTAGACGATAATTACCATCGTAACTGTGAGACGTGTATCTTAGCAAATGACTCCGATACCAACTGTAATAATAACCCCTGTTACTCGATACATATTCATCCAAATTACATTTTACCAGTTCAAAGAGAAACGTCTAAAGTTCTAAATAGTACAGGATCCGACTGCTTAATTCCGAGGGGTTGTACGGGTGTCAGTTCTACAGATATCAATCGGCGTTCGTCTGTTCCGAATTCTCCAACAACAAGCAGACCTTTGAGAGAGAGAAAAAGACTGCCTCGGCGGGTATCGGCTCCTCATCTGCTTAATGCTGTCTTGGAAGTAAAATACAAAGAAAATTCCATGGAGCAAGAAAAAACAAATCCTACCCCAGTCCCCCCTGTAAGGAGAAAAAGAAAGCGAAAGACAAACAGAACATATCAGGACTGATAATGCCAGTGGCAAAGTGTTTATTAATCGCTTGTGATAAATTGCATCACCCGTGATAAATTTCAGTGTCGTAACACAGAAATGCCTTACTAAAGTATAGTAACGAATTATGAAATTCTATAAGTGTATATTTTTTGCTGTATAAAGTCTGTCATTAAAAAGATATCCACGTTTTTGTATCATTTGCACAATGACATCTAATGAGTCATTTTGAAAAATTACATTTTACAGTGCTCATGACAAGAAGAATTCCTAAAAGAAATATTTAACATTCTTATCTTGGGCGCCTTGATCTTTATAATGTATTTCACGTCAAGATTGGATAAGCGGTGTAATGTCATTTAGAAGTCTAACAATTATATATATATAAAAATACTCAAATATATTTTGTATGTAATGCTTCTTTTGTACCATTAAATGTGTTTACATGTATGTTTATTATGAGGTGCCATGAAAATATGTTTACAGTATTAAAAAAATAATATACAATTTGTTTATAGTCATTAATGTAAAGATTTCCCAACGTATTATTTGTAAATGAATACATGTAGTTAAAAAGTCTATGAATTCGGAACTGATATGATTTTCTTTGAAATATAACTTTTCGACAAATTACACCTAATTCATATCTGCCTTTAATTTTGCTTTTGCTGTAAATATGTACGTTATTATTTGCGAGATATAAAAGAAAATAAAATAAGAAAATAAAACAACCTGGTGATAACCAATGATATTGACTAATTACTGATAATTCTCACTAGCTTTCCCATTCAAGATGTTGGATTGTAAGATAAATATATGTCTAGATCAATTGGTTGTTTTTATGAGTGCAACCTATTTGGAAATCCCCTACAATTTCTTTGCAGAACCCATCAACCGTGAAAAATATGCTAGTTCTTTATCTACTTATTATTGTCTTTAAACCTTACATACAGGTGAATAATATTTTAGTATAAAAACTTTTATCAAAAAGGTCATTCTTTAGGTAGGAGCTCCGGTGCTTTGGTCTTGTTACGAAATCTTGCTAAGAATATGCTGTAAAATGTCACATGTTTTTATTAAAAAAAAACCTTTCTAACAACAAATTCAGGTACGCGCTAGAGCTCATTAATTACCTGTCCCGTCCCGTGACGTCTATTAATGAGTCAAGCGAGTTGTGTGCAAGGTCATCAATGGAACACGATGAAAGAAATCACGGTCAATAAACCACAGACCATTCATAATAAAATAAATTTAAGAGATTTGCTCCAGTAATCTTAAGTCGAAATAAAAACCAATGTACTCTCTGCTATGACATCATACAGATCCATATGAACTTGCAATAGTAAGGACAAAGACTAGATATGAAAATGAAATCAAATAAGCTATGGTCTTAATAAAACTTACTTTCACCTATGTTATACGATATAACATACATGTAACTTGGGGCAGTTTACGCATAAACCGCGAAGCGGTTTATAAAAAAGCGAAAAACTCTTCCAATTTAGGCTACCAGTATATCCTATAACATAGGTTAAAATTAACTTCATTCCTTATAATTTTATTTCAGAGTATACAAAAAGACAATTTTACCTCCAAAAATGGCTTCAAAATTAACGTCAAGCGGAGTAATACTTTATGACGTAACCCATTGTGACGTAGGCAGTTTGTGTTATACGATATCCTTGAAATCTTATATCCAATCAAATGACGTGTAACAACTAAAATTAAATTGTTGTTTTAAAAAAAATTCCATAATCAACATGAATCTGCGAAAGTTTGATGAAACACCAAGTCATAGGAAATTACAGAAGTAGGATCAGGAGTCTAGGAGGAGTACGCATCCCCATCCCTGTTGATCGGTCACATTTGCCATTAGCCCTATGCAATGATCATTCCTTAGTCAAATTCAGCATTAAAGCAAAGGCCTTACAATTGGAATGAAACGTCGTCAGACAAAGACGATCCAATGATAGGTTATATATTTTCTAAATAGGTCATTATATAACGACCGTAGAATTACGAAATACTGACTTTAAACGAGTCTGTTAAAATTTCTGTAACATCAACCTATCTGTCCATAGCCTGTCTCGTATTAAAAATTGATCGTACTCGCAGCATGCTCTTGAGCATCGAATGGGTGGGAGATGTAAACCCCTTGTGCAGGTGACAGCGGGATATTACAAAATAAATACGGAAAGCTGACGATAAAAAAGCTGAAATCATCTTTCGTCAAACAATTCAGCTGTTAGTTGGCCCTTATCGTTTATAGAATGATTTTTCAAACGAGACCATAAAAATAGAGGTCCCTAATCAAGGTGAGCGTCATCGTCTTTTAAAAGGTACGATCTGAGTCTGCATATACCACATTATGTAGCTCACTCCTTTTTTCTTTCAAATTTTTCATACAGAAAAGGTTTAAATAATATATTTAAATGTGGGTACGCATGTTTTATAAATTTTACATTCGATATGTTAATGCTTCAAAACTGTACAGCTATACGATGTTCGATATTAATGCCTAATTACTGTAAGTAGTCGCCCGCGTGGCGCAGTGGTTAGAGCGTCTGCTCTAGAGTCACGAAGTAAAGAGTTGATCCTTACGTCGCGAGTTCGAAGCCAATTGTGGCACGTGGAGACTGTTCCTTCGGATGAAACCATATAAACCGAGGTCCCGTGTCGCAGTAGGTGCTGGCAAGAAAAAGATCCCTACCTGCTCAATAGTGCCGAGTACAGGAAAAATTTGCAGCTCTCCAGCGGTATAAGTGGTGGAGTTTCCATATGAGTGAAAAATTCTCGAGAGGGACGTTAAACAACATACAATCAATCAATTACTGTACGAAATTTCAATACTGCATCTTTTGTCAGAAAGGTGACAATTCGAAATATATTCGAAATAATTAACTAATGCCACAGATTTCAAATGAACCGTTTAACCTCATGTTATCTTTTTAAAAAAAGTTTTCCTGAACAAAATTTTTAAATGAATCACATTTATTTGACATTTAATTTTTTTTCGTAGAAAATTTGTGGTTTTACATTACAAAAATAAATCTGAAACTTATCATGATGAAAATAAGAGAAAAATGTTTGAAATAATTAAGAATTAATAGTAAAAAAAACCAGTTTATTAAAGTAGCTGGCTGAATATTAATGTAATTTATCATCTTGGATTGATTTAATTTCTTAGAAAACAATTAACGAAATCAATGTAATATTAAGAATAATTAAAAGCAGCTCTATTTGATATATTTGTACCATACAGACATCATATGCCAATATATTAGCATTGATATAGTTATTCTTGATAATTATAATAACCATCGTTATAAACAGTGGTCGCATCATTTCCCGATGTGTTTTTTTTTATATCTAAGATTCTGTACAGGTTTCAAATGGTGACCAGTAAGAATATTCAAAACATTCATTTATTGAGTCTAGGAGAAGTGAGTATTCCCATACCTCTCGATCGGTCATATTCGCCATGAGTCCTATGCAATGATCATTCCTTACAAACTCAGCATTAAAGCAATTGGAATGAAAATATGTTTACAGTATTTAAAAAAAATAATATATACATTTTGTTTATGGTCAAGATTTCCTAACATGTTGATGTAAATGAATACATGTAGTTAAAAAGTGTATTAATTCAGAACTGAAGTGATTTTCTTTGAAATATAAGCTTTCCACAAATTATATCTAATTCAGATCAGCTTTTAACTTTGCTTTTGCTGTAAATGAGATATATCGACGACGTATTGTCAATTAATAGTGATAATTTCCATTCTTAGGTCGATACAATATATCCTGGTGAGCTTGAGGTGAAAGATGCCACAGAGTCAGACACATCTGTTTCATATTTGGATATTTTACTTGAAAAAGACGTTAATGGTAATCTAACAACCAAGCTCTATGATAAACGTGGTGAATTTAACTTTTCTATCGTCAACTTCCCTTACTTATGCAGCAATTTACCCTCTTCTCCTGCATACGGAGTTTATTTGTTTATTCGATATGCAAGAGCATGCTCTACGTATGTTCAATTTCTACAAAGAGGTAAATTATTGACAAACAAGTTGATAAAACAAGAATATCAACAGTCTCGTTTAAAGTCATCATTTCGTAAGTTCTATGGCCGATACAATAACCTTGTCAGCAGATATAATTTATCATTGAGTCAAATGCAAATGTTTTTCATACTAATTGTCAGTCCATTATTTATACTGTACACTGAAATGACGACGGATTTTTTCGTTATTTCCCGATCATGACAAGGAGCACACGGCGGATGTGACCGGTCGGCAGGGTATGCATGGTCACTACTCCATGGCTCCTGATCCCACCTCTGAAGTTTTGGAGGTCCGTGTTTGCTATGCTCCTATTTTCTATTTGTATTGTTTCATGGACTTTTTATCTTGAATACTGTTATCTCCATATGTTTCATTGATTAAAACACATCATGATTTGAACAAACTTAATTATCCAGTATCTCAGAATCCTTCTACATAAATATAAACAAACAAGGCTTTGATGTTCTTGAGAAAAAAGATTTTAAGATTTTTCCATTGTTTTCCTCTGTAAAGCTTTGATCACCTATTGTGAATCTAGTCATTCTCAGGATGATTCCACATAAGTTTCGTGTTTTTAAACACAGTTGTTCTTGAGGGTTTTTTTTTAAAAATGATGCCATATTTTCTTACGAATTCGTAATTATCTCCCCATGGAAGAAGCATGGTCCTTAATTTGAACAAACTTGAATTTCCTTTACCCCAAAATACTTTGTTACATGTTTGGTTGATATTGGCCCTATGGTTCTTCATCAGATGATAAAAATTGTTAAAGGTTTTCAACGCCAATCATTGATCAGAAAAACTCACTTGAGCCTTTAGCTCAGGTAAGCGATATGGATGATTTTAGTGCTTTATTCATGTTTAACTTAAACCAATCATTTTTTATGAATCGCAGCAAAATCGCTTTATCATTTCAAGATTACAAGGCCCTGTCATTTTGATTGGTATGTAGCATCCTGTCTTCATATTAACGAAGATCGCCATCTTAATCTCGAGACCATTATTATCAATGTTTAGCGAACTGTTATTGTTTTTCAACTCTACATTTGCATAAATATTTTCTAAACCGTAAAACTGACAATGCAGCAATAATTCAAGATTTATATATCTATACTATGCATGCCAATGCCTGTTTTTTAGCTGCAATAATGTAGCCCTCTCCGATTTTTTTTTATCTGATATTTTCTGGAGAGGGCTACAATTCCATAGCATCTCCGTAATGGTGCAAAAATTTTTTTAAATACGAGCGACTGCAGGCCGAATAAATTGTTTTTACATTCAACTTACTTCTAATAAGACGAGATTTTTATTCACTGTCGACATCATAGCTCGTTAAACGCGAAAACCATGTAAAATAAATCTGTGTGATTTCTTCTCGCTTATTTCGCAGCCATGACAGTTCACGCGTGACGTAGTGAGACTTGCGCTTGAAATTTTGAACAACTCAATAAAGCAAATGTCGAGGTAAATAAATAATTGTGATGAATAGTAACACTAAACATCGATGAATAAAATCATTCCATGTGTCATTTTTTCGTAAACAACGATATTTAGGCTTAAAATAAGGTAATTCCAAAGAAATCCGCTCCCTGTAGATCCTTAATCTCATTGGCTGTCTCAAAATAAAATCTGTCAAGGTCAGTAAACATGGCGGATAAATTTTTAAAGTTGTGATGTTGACATACACGAAAAATACTGATATATTGATTGTTCTGTATATTTTATGTTCGATTTATGTCTGGGATAACTACATTTTGGAAGTTCAGGTAAGGCATATAAATAAAATAGCTGTTTACAGACAATTTGAGACGAAATCCGTGCGGGAGCGATCCACTCCCGCTCTGCGCCATTAGAAAGATCCTATTGTAGCCCTCTCCCAAAAAAAAAAAAAAAAAAAAAAAAATCGGAGAGGGCTACATTATTGCAGCTACCTGTTTTTATATACATTTAAGATAGCGAGATTAATATTCTCAATTCCTTCAAGTATATCTCTAACATAAAAATGTAGAATTAAAACACGAAGAACCAAATTTATTGTCGATCGTTTGTTACGTTTTATACATCAAATTGACGAATTAGTGATTCATTGCATTTTCTCAAAAGAACAGACCCAAATTTTGCTTACATTTTATATATCTTACTTTAAATTTACTAGTTAAAATCTTTACATTTTTTATATATAATATTCTAATAAAATATGGAGATAATGAACAGTATGCAAGTTGAAAGGAAATATCACAAATCTGAAACAAAGCAAATACAGATCCTTAAAACATTAAAGATTGGATCAAGGCCATGAAGAAATAAACATCCTCTAACTATGTGCTCCTCGACACGACCTAAAATTTTGTAGGAGCATTATTGATAGATTGTACTTGCTGATAATGGTAAGTATATCGTCCGTGGGATTTGCAAACTTTTGACTTTAAACAAAACTGTTGATATAATTGTTTTATGAACTTGTTTGTTAAAGACTTACCTTATTTTCCCTCTTAGTGGTCTTAGTGTTTCTTTTGATTACCTGATCATGACATGACCCGAATGGCGGATGTGACCGGTTGATAGACGATGCTTCTTCCTACATGGCATCTTATCCCATCTCTTATGTTTCAGAGGTCGATCCATGTTTGTTCAACTTCAATTTTCATAGTTTTAACGGAATTTTGAGCATGATTACTGATCGATATTTTTGAATTTCATGGCCAACAATGCAGATATCAATACACCATTCATTGAAAAATCTTTGCGCTTGGTTCCGATTTGCCTCAATTAAATGAAACTTAATTTGAATTCAACAACTTGGTATTTCTCAGTGACATAGTACAATGTATATTTTACATGACTACAGAGACTTTGAAATACATGTATATACAAGGTTCAATAAGTAAAACCAAATTTGACTCTATTTTTTATTATGATGTAAAATCACATTTATCTTTTAGAATTTTGATGATGATTTGAATTTTGTTCGTTATCTCATGTTTCATGTTCAAAAGTATCGTAACTTTTTGAAATGAAGTGGGAAAGCACCTTCAATATAATATTTAAACGCCCTTTCCGTATATCTAATCATTGAATCATTAGCTAGTAAATGCGCTGTCATTGTTTAAACTACAAATCATACGAGTCGCTTGACGGCTTTGGGCCTAAACTTTATTTTCTGTAGTTGATACAAATTAATGTATATCAATACATTTAATATTCTTCTTCCTCTTCTTCTACCTCTTCATCAAAATCGTCAACTTCGTCCTCCACAGTCGCATCTTGGTACTGCTGGTACTCTGACACAAGGTCATTCATGTTTGATTCAGCTTCCATAAACTCCATCTCGTCCATACCTTCTCCAGTGTACCAGTGTAAGAAAGCTTTGCGACGGAACATGGCTGTAAATTGCTCTGAAATTCTTTTAAAAATTTCTTGAATGGAAGTTGAATTTCCGATGAATGTTGAAGACATTTTCAGTCCTCGAGGTGGAATGTCACATACAGCAATCTTCACATTATTTGGAATCCACTCTACAAAATAGGAACTGTTTTTGTTTTGGACGTGTAACATTTGCTCGTCAACTTCCTTCATTGACATCCGACCACGAAACATGGCTGCCACCGTAAGATATCGTCCATGTCTTGGATCACAGGCAGCCATCATGTTTTTAGCATCAAACATTTGTTGTGTGAGTTCAGGAACAGAAATTGTTCTATACTGTTGACATCCCCTTGACGTTAACGGGACAAACCCAGTTATAAAGAAATGCAGTCTAGGAAATGGAACCATATTTACGGCTAGTTTTCTCAAGTCTGCATTCAGTTGTCCTGGAAATCGAAGACATGTAGTGACGCCAGACATGGTTGCTGAAATAAGATGATTGAGATCCCCGTATGTAGGAGTTACCAACTTAAGAGTCCGGAAACAGATATCATATAGAGCCTCGTTATCAATGCAGAAGGTTTCGTCCGTATTTTCGACCAGTTGATGGACAGACAGCGTGGCGTTATAAGGCTCTACAACTGCATCGGATACCTTTTGAAAATAAAAGAAACATTTTAGAAATACACATTCAATTAATTTTTATTTGCTAAATGTAAAGTTACCAATCAAGAAACTTTATTTGTTGCATATGTTTCAATAAAAAACATCTGTTACCTTAGGTGATGGTAAAACAGAAAAAGTAGTCATAATTCTATCGGGGTATTCCTCTTTAATTTTGCTGATCAGGAGGGTCCCCATACCAGACCCTGTCCCTCCCCCAAGACTGTGAGCCAACTGGAATCCCTGTAGACAGTCGCAGGCCTCGGCCTCCCTCCTTAGGACGTCTAGGACGGTGTCCACTAACTCTGCCCCCTCGGTATAATGTCCTTTCGCCCAATTATTTCCGGCACCGGAATGTCCAAATACAAAATTGTCTGGACGGAAAAGGTTTCCAAATGGTCCAGATCTCACTGCGTCCATGGTTGCTGGTTCGAGGTCCAGGAGAACTGAACGTGGAACATACCTATTGCCTGTAAAAAAAAAAAGCATATCCATTTTCAGTAATGCAACTTTTATCGGGGGAATTTTTTATATTGATAATTTAGTATGATTCTGATTTACTTCTTCATGATGACAGTAATAAAGATAACAAATTTAAAAATAAGAATGAAAAAATAAGACAGATTATTTTATTAACATATTAAATAATCTCATTTAATTGACGAAAAAAGTCTAGTGCGATTTGATTGTACTTATACTAAGTACAACTTAATTGGTTGCAACATTCCTTGGTACGACCTATCTAATATCACACAATTTCCGTTTCCGCTGTTTGGAAAAATCACAGTAACCTGCACAACAAAATTTTTTCCCTCCCACCCTTCCCAATAATAATAATATGTATATATATATATAGATATATGTAATCGATATAATTTTTAAAAATGTCCTTAAATTCAATAATCTGCCGTAAGAATTTTATCTTTCAGACCCAACAGACTAACACCTTCAATAGGAGCAGTCCAAAAAAGCCATGTGTGATTCAATGGATCGTGGGTGCCTTTTCCAAGCAGATGAATTATGGAGACATAGACATGACTTTTGCTGTGAACTATATACTTTAGAACGTTTTTATTCAAGTTATCACCTTAATCTCTTCTTTTGTCGCATTGTGTTAGGGGGATCGGGTCTGGGGGGATATAAGTGGGAAGTTTTCAAATTATCTGGCCTTAGGGTTTCCCCCCATCTGTCATCTAAGACAGAGGGCGGTTTGTAAAAAGCAAATTTTTACATATGTACGTATGTGTTTTGGAAAAGTGTGTCAAAGATTGGGGTCACTTTAGACAGTCTTGGTGCCCACTCCACCTCTTCACACAGGAGGGGAGGCTTAGTCCTGGAGTACATGGTAAAGTACTAACAACCAGGTGCAATCACTGGGAAACGGGGTAAACGGATATTTTGAAAACTCTTCCAATCCCAAATGGGTGGTAATTTCATAGTTTGGGATTTTTGGTACTGGCGCTCAATGCCAGGCCACCAGTTTGCCCGTTATACCTTCTAGGTTGGTATACTGGATATCCCCTCGGACCCTGGGTTAACACAATGTGGCCATTTACTTCCATTGTCCCCTTTTTCTTGTCAAATTGTAAATTGATATAGTATGATATTTTGTCTAATTGATTCAATAAATTTGGAAAAAGAAACATGTGTTTGTGACTGTCTCATCAGAACAGTTAGGAGAGTAGAGGAAGTACAAACTTATATGAAATACAAGAGTCTGAGGTTACAAAGGCGTTTATTTTGAATGTTCAATTAAAGAACATGAACAAATTCTACAATTAAAACAGGATCCGATTTTTAATAGATGTTTTATAATATTATGCTTAAAAAATAGTAATTTTTAGTTGGAATTGCATCAAGTTCAAATTTTCAGCTGTGAAAAAATTGTAAAATATTTTGCCATATAGACACATGCAACAAAGTTGCATAATATTTTATAAATTGAATATTATTTATGCTTTAAAAGTTTAAATGTATATTTGGACACTTACATTTGTTTTAATTTGTTTTCGTTTCATTTAATATTGTAGATTTAACATTTTAAAGTTTTCTCCTCAGTTAAGAAAAAAAGATAAACATTAATAATTGCTTCTTCGTTCAATTGAAATTTATTTTCTTCTTGTTTTGTCATGCAAAAATAAAACAAATCGCATATACCATAAATTTTAATAGTACATCCTGCAAGGGCAAATTTATGTTTACAGTTCACATTTTCTAACATAGTGGTGTTCGTCAGTGATCGAGATGAATGCAAAATATATTCTTTTAATCAATTTTTAAAAAAATGGTTGAAGAAACATACTGGTTATCTCTGACTGATTAAGACGTGCTAAAATCATATTTTGATTTTGACATCAGTAGGCGAGAAATATATAACACAGCAAAAAGAAAAAAATTGATTATATAAGAACTTAATAGAACGTGAAGACTAAGTGTATCTTTTAATATGGCCTTCAAATGGAAATTTATTGAAATTTTATTCAGATTAAAAATATATGTGCACCTCAGAGGGAATAAAGGCTCCTTTTTACCTAAGTTACTGAAGCATACGATGCTAATTAAACAACAACGATTTTTTTTGTTCTAAATGTTAGAGTCTAGTATTAAAATCAGCACAGTAATTTAAATTGCACACATTTAGAAAACCGAGGGTATTGCAATTTGCAAGCTAAATAAAATTGTTATTTTCAGAAAATGAATTAAACTGTTTGCTTCTATTTGTTAAGAGATAATGAGAACAATTTATTTTATGTTAATGGATATATACAGCTGTCAGAATTGTCCAGTGTTACAAATGCCAGTCGACTTGATAAATACCTCCAAATTCCAAAGCAATCTTGTTATGTTTTATATGTCTGCTCTCCGAGAGGTATATCTACTCTTAGGTCAAATTACAAATGTCTTCATATTTCAAAACGCCACATAGCATAAACACTTCTATAGAAATAAAGCAATCCTGATGTCAATAAGACAATTCGAAAGCTTTTGAAATATGACAACTAAAGTTCGACGTATTCGAAGTCCCGAAAGTTCACAAAGATCATTCTAGTTTGATAGCAATACAAATTTCCATTCAATATGTCTACGGCTTAGGAATAACTACTAAACAAAGATTCATATAGTATTCAAAATGTATTATTCCTTTATAACAAAAGATCACATTTTTATACTGGAATATTTAATTAATGCTATAAATGAATAATTTACGTAGTGTGCGAAAAAAAAAGATTAAAAAGGTGGGTTCCTTTAGTGCTTTGTTTTGACCGTACACATTTACCTTTATAACTTCGACCTACATGTACTACAAAGAACACTTAATCAAATCAAATATTTTGATGTCGATGAGTAATGTATTGTCTTTTAGGTCACTTGCCATTTAGAGGTGTTTGTTTAAAAGTTTTATTGTAGCTTAAATTATTTTGTTAAAATTTTAAGCCAAGTTTATTTTATACAATTTGCCAAAGCCCTTCCCCCTTATGCCTCTTGTTTACGTTTACCAATATTATGCAATAGGC